AGGGTCTGTTTCCGTGCTGTACATCTCTATAACTCTATGACACTATGTGCTCCCTGCCCTTGATGTGGTTCTCTCTCTGATTTCTCTACTATCGGTCCTTAAATCCCTTCTGAGCTTATTTTGTCCATGGGACCTACTTCCTGTTCCCTCCTGACTTCCTCTCCTGGCTGTCTTGTTAGAGACACAAGTTAAAGGTTCCCTCTTCTCAGTTCTGTCCACTGTTGTATAAGGTAATGTAAAAGTTAATGTTGGAGACGACATTAGGCTCTACCCAATCACATAGAGTCACATGGTTATTGGGTGGAAAAAATTCAGTCTAACAGAAAGAAACATCACCTCTGGGTCATGTTAGCTCTTGTAGTTGTGTCTAACCAGTTAATATAACTTATACCTATTGTGATAATGCAATAAATTGTATGTTGTTGTTAGGACAAGTATCTCTTTTCATTAAGGCTTAATGGTTGTTTCCCCTCCACTACTGGTAATTAGTTAGGCCTTTGAACTGTGCTTCGGAAGCAGAATGCTGACAATGTTCATGGTGTTGATGTAGCTTCGGGCTATGGTGGACTCCTGTCTGAATTGACCCCCTGTTCAGATGGAATCTCACATTAATACCAGACCCTGAAATCTCCCTTGGGTACCTGCTCCCCATTATTTGAGCTGTTCCATGGAAATTCCCTCCTCATCCTTCCAGTTAGCATGCTGATGTTGCCACTGCAGACTGCACTACGTATCTTTCACTTCTTATCTTCACCTACCTCCAGGACACGCCCTGGTGTTCTAGCTTGTTATTTGGTGGATTCCTAGTGAAGGGCTGTGTTAATGGGAGTCCTCCCCCTCACCAATGGGGGCCTGGGATGGGGGTGTGCTGTATGCAACAGAGTTGTGCAGTTATAAGTTAAGTGTGTCCACAGACTCCAGGCTGCCTCTGATATCTGCAGCCTTGTGGAGTCTGTGGGTCATGTTCAGGTAGATTGCTATGGTCTTTATTGTCACTTTTTAGGTTATACTTCAGTCCCATTCCCCTGAGCTTTGGGGATCTAGTGCTGGGAGAGGTGGGCAGGTTGGAGGACATCTTCATGGGTCTACTCCGGGTCCTGGCCATAGTGGCCACTAACAGGTCCAGGCAGTGGGCCACAGAAGGGAAATACTGAACCTGACAGCCTGCCACACTGTGATGGTTGCATCTGCATCAGCATATTATTGGAGAGGGAGCATGGAATGTCTGGTGCACTTCAAATCTTGAGCTACATCATCCCATCTATTAAAATGACAGCTTAATCTAAAATTTGTAAGATTCCTTTGGGAATTTTTACTTACATTACAGTGCCCTCAAAGGGTTGGCAATTATAACTTTTGTTTAATTTGGTCAATTGGTTTTATTGTGAAAATAGTAGAAAAGTGGCAATACTCAAACCTAACCAAAAGCCATGAGCGGTTGCCACTACAAAATATGTCATCATGTTGGCTTCACATCTGCCTTAATCACCCCTTTCCTCAAACAAAAACTTAGCTGGCTTTACAAACTATTGTCCAACAGCAATCTCCCCTTCCACTTGTGTGAGATTGCCATCTCCTATATCAGTGCCCGTCTTTCTTGTTTGAATTAATCCAAACAGATTTCCGACCAAGTCAAAATTTCTTGTTACCGAAGTCACAAATGACATCCAATGTGATTCAAAACTGCCCCAGGCAGCAAAAACACTAAGGATATCAGGCCCCAGTTTCTGTCTTCTTACTAAGTAACAAATGTACTTCATTAATAAGTGCATGGGCTCAGTGTACAAGGAGGAAGATCCATACTTGTTACACATTATTTACAAATTTCCATTAAAAAGGAAACCATATTGAGAAGCCCCTTCACATTTTAGCTTCAGCCCATTGCTAGTTACCTTCTCCTTCTAACATGTTCCTAACGTCAGGCTCAAATTGCATTAAGAGTTCATAATGGCATGTTACTTATCAAAACCCTGTTGTTTTTACAATCCAAGCCTCTGTTTATAAAGCCCAAGATTCTGGGTGCTTTATGAACCTTTCTCATCCTGCCATACCACATTCATGTATACACCCACATCCTTCTGTTTCAACACCCACTTTAGAATTATAGCCTTTCTACCATGATGCTTCTCCTCATTCTTCCTGCCTACATGATCATTTATCACATGCCTATTGGTGGAACCTTGCTGTGTGCAAATCATTGACCAGGTTTTGCCACATCACAACAGAGTGATGTAAGGTATGTGATTTATAAATATTTTACATTGTTCATTTTGGATTTTTGGAATTTTGAACTAGTGGCAAATGATTTCCTGTGTGTCTAAAGGAAATAATGATTATCTTGTAAGTATTTCTGCAGTTATAGTGATTTCTTCCTAAAATAAACAATATAGTAGTGTCTTGGCGGCAGTGGGCATTTGCTTATATTGGGAGAGTGTTCAAGTGAACAAAGTAAATAGTAAAACATGAGGGCTTCAGATAGAAAGTTCTGGATTTTTTTCTTTGCGTTTAGGGAGACATCCATTGCTTAAAAGGTTTAGATTTTGGGCTTCACTTGAGCAGTATGTAGAAGTCTTGGCCGAAGCTTGAAATGTAAAACATTTGATCCTGGGAAAGGAAGGTAATTTAAGACTTTTAAGGAAGAGATTTATCTCAGTATAAGGAGTTTAGTTTAGTTTAGATGTTCCAAGCCAGAAGTGTTTGGTTAAAAATTCGATGGGGTTGTGTGAAGCTCAGCTATATGTTGAATCAAGGAAGAGGTTGCCAGATTCTCATGATCAGGAATTGAAATCATAGCTTAGTCAAACCCTGTGTGAGAAAGGAATTCTCTCTAGTATTTGAGAACTATAATTAGATGTTTTTGGTTAAGGGGATTGTGGTTTTACTATGTATTTCAAAATTTGTAAACTTGTATTATATGTAAATAGTTTGACCTATTCTATTTTATCTTAATTTCATTTGCATAATAAACTTCTGTTTTATTATAATCTACAGCATTGTGTATTTGTGTTTCATTGAAAGACCACTTCATTAGAATCAAAAAGTAGAAATGATCTATCAAGCCAGATGTGACTTGTTCAGTAGTAACATCAGCTGGGATCTTAACAACTGTGATTATACCTCAAAAAATATCATTCGTTGTGAAGCATCTTGGGATGTTGAGATTGTGATAGGTGCAATGCCATATTCATTAACAATTACAACTTGAGCCATTAAATTAACAACACATATTGGTATCACAAATAATGATTAGTCAAAAACAAGTGGAGTTAATGATATATACTTTACTACATAATTGGAATAGCGACAACAGTGAAAACTGTAAACAAATCATAAATTGTCTGAATGGTTGCGCCAGACAAAGGGATGGTTTCCTGCAGGCAGCAAGAAAGGAAAACGTGACATGCTGGCTGGCTGAATATTAGGTGGGTTTTGGTTTTATAATAGAGGGTTAAAATGTTTAGGTTATGTCAGCGGCATCCATGAGTCATATAGATCCTCAGGCAATCGTCTAGTTGCCTTGTATGTGGAATATATTCGCCAGTCATGAATATTCATTAGTGTGAATATTTTATAAAGATCTCTAAGATAAATTTAGCGGTACAGAAAAAAACTTGTGGCATTTGTGTAGCTTGTAGTACTTTGATTATGGAAAATAGAAGGAGTTGAAACTAATCATCAGTTCTATGGCTTAAGTCCATGAACACAAATGTTCTTATCTCACTGCCTGCTCTCTGTGCAAATGCAGAAATAATTATGGGTCTCATTCAGCAAGTACACTTACAGCCTCAGAGGAGTGAATGCAACAAAGAAGGACCCTTGCCACCAAAAAAGTTGCTTTTGCAACACCAGCCTCAGGCAGCACTGAAGGGAAAAATTGTTGAAGATTCAGCAATCCAGGAAGGCATTATTGAAGATAGGCACTGGCGTTTGGCAATAAAGTAATGTTCATGACGCAAAGCTGCATTATTTGGTCCAGGAGATCTTTTCTCACTTACCAGTAATTGCAGTGTTGTCAGCTAATGTAAGGTTTCATCAATGTAAAGCTTCTGCTGCTGTGGATTTGTATGTGTTTCCTTTATATGTTGCTAGTGCTTAGATTTTTAGTTATAATTGCATGAGAAACAGGAAAGAGCAAAAGAATGCAAGTGGTATGGATGCCACGGTTAAAATTATGCCCATTATTTCCTGGCAATGCAGATAATGCAAATTGTGCACTAAAATTTCATACTTCTCCGTTCTAGCTATAGCCCACTCCGTTTAACTGAGGTTTAGTTGAACATTATGGTCTGTATTTGTCTGACATTCATACAGTGCATTCTTACTGTTTTCTCTTCAAAAGTTTGTTTTTTAAATATGGGGCATAATTCATTTTATACCAATGATTTTTTTTTAAAGTAATAGGTTGAAATTGCCAAAAAGTTCTTTCTCATGCCCTACGTTATCATCTTAGCTGTATTCTGAACCAGCTGATCATTTAATGTTGTTATTGCTGCAGATGGATAAGTCCCAGGGGATGAAGGCTACCCTTTGCTGGGAGAAGATGAATCCTTGACTGGGGTAATAATATGTTGATGTAGTAAAGGATAATTTACTTTAACTTTAAACTGTATTATAATTTCAAAAGAGACTATATGCCTTTAATTAAATTATGCTCTTTGCTGTGTAGAATATTATGCTGTGATACTCCAAACAGAATAAAAGTACACTGATAAGAAATTAGTAATGAATAACTTACGACAACAGAACCTTACAAACAACATAGTCATGAAAAAGTTCAGTTTAAGAAACATAAGCAAACATTTTAAGGTCTCTGATATGATCAGAATTAGGAAAATATTCATTCCAAACAGGTGCATGTTAAATTGTGCAACACATTGGGTATACTGCCTCAATTTTTGCCTTGCATACCTCTTCAAAGCTTATATGACACAATGCACAAAGTGGTCCCAAATGTAGGCCAGAGCCCAGCTCCAATACAGTAATTTACAGTAATAAGACAAACAACAATATCAAATTATGAAATGACTGCTTCCCTTTCATAACATTGCCACCATTTCATTTTATTAAAATGTATTTTCATATATTCTCAAAGGAAAGTGATGAATAAAGCTATAATTTGAATTTCGATTAAAATCCTGACTTGATACGGGAGTCTCTTGAGTTCTTGATGTAGTGCCAACATTAACATAGATCTGATTGTCTTCAGGTTCTGCTAACAAGAAAGAGACGTTCTATAAGATGTAATTTATTTTATTTATTTCATGTTGTGATATGAATACACTTAAAGCACTGACAGTAACAGACAAATCTGTATCAGTTCTCTAAATGAATGCTGGAAAACCCATGCCAAAATGTCACTTTTATTATTTTACACTAGTACAGGAAGTTTCTTTCTGATCATGAGACTCTTATTTTATGGCATTGCTAGCATGACTATCATTCAGCTTCAGTCATGTCATTTGAGAAACTCCTCAGCTCAGGCATCAAGAACAGCTCTTTAAACTCAACTTCAAATTTTAGCTGCCTGCCAACTTATTACTTGAAAAAGTGTGATCTTTTCCTTTCACTAAGGACTATAAATATAAAACTACTCACAAATGAATACTCTCCGATTTTATGATCGATTGACTACTGCCAGGAAACACAAGTCATTATTGTTGCTTATTTACATGTGGATGCAGAATATAGTCTCTCAGAGCTTTACACTCTTGTGATGTTTCCTGTTTCCTGTTTGATATTGGGAAAATTAGGTGGACTTAGTAAAAAGGCAAATTGTGCATGGTTTATGGAAGGGATATCTGAATAGCTGAATGAGTCCATTTGTTTCTTCACTTCTTATTACTTTACTGTTTTTCTTCCTGTCGGGTGCTAACTTCTCACTTGCTTTTCTATAACAATGTGACAACCACAGATTAAATGCTCTGTGAGTGAATATATTTGCACTGAACTCTGAGTTTAATTGTATAAATCACATATATACTTTTAATGCACCCAGGACAGTGGAGAAAGATAGACAACTTTACATGTGAACAAATTGTATTTATATTGATAATGTATAAACTAATTACAGTTCTGGGTTATGTTTCTACATATTTGGAGACAGTTTAAACAAATAATTAATGACACAAAGTCATTGACCTGAAGTGTTAACTCTGTTTATCTCTTTCCTGGTCTGATGAACATTTCCATCATTTTCTGCTTTTATTTAATGTAAACGGTTTCTGGAATTACAAGTGGTTTATTTCTGTAGAGTACAATTCTCCATTTTGGCTCCCAAAATTAAATTATTACCTCATACTTCACCAATACGCACTGTGTATCAGACCCACTATCAAACCAACAATACCTTCACTTATATTCGTACGCTGCTGTTAATATAATAAAATGTATCAAGATACTTGACAGGAATGTTATGAAATAAAATTGAACACAAACTCACACAACATGATGAGAAGCAGAGTGCTGGAAATTTGATCAGAAAGGTAATTTTAAGGAATGTCTTGACGGAGGAAAGAAAGCTAGAGAGATATAGAGTTTTAGGAGGAAATTCCAGAGTTCAGGGCCTGGACCACTGTAAGAATGACCACCATTGAATTTGAAAAAAGCAGCTTTGTGAATTTTATGAAAAGTGAAGGCAATATCAATGTGAAGCACACCTATGTTATATTATAGCATAGGACATGCAGAATAAATCAGTCTCTATGCTGCCTCTGTCTTAAACAATCTCACAGAGTACCCCACAATGCCCTCTTGTGACCTTTTCCAGTTCCTATAATATCCTTCTTTGTCTACTCTGTGAATGCCAAAGGCCAACATTGTATTCAGCGGCCATATCCAGTTGGAACTGCTTTGAGACGGTTGGTTTCAAATATGAAAAGACAGCATTCTAAACAAGTACAGCCAGCTATCAATTATACAAGTCAAACAGTTGTACAGAGTGGGTTTAAAATTCATTCATCTCCTGCATACATCCACATACTGGAACACAGATTAAGTCTGAAAAATTGTGCAAACAGTAATACTGCATTTATTTCCACAAGCTATGTACAAAACTTAACTTTCTTGGTTTATAATCAAGGATTCAAATTTCCTGGATCTTACCCTTTTTTGAACGCTTTAATAGAAAATAGACAACTGCAGTTATGAGAATTGGACCCAGAGAAGACAACACCCACCATAAATACTCTCTACCTGTGAAAAAAAACAAAAGAAAGCCTATGAAGTCTTTGTCATTAGCAGGTCATCTGATAACCCACATAATAAAATACTCCCAAGATCAAATAAATGTTACCATTCATGTTTATATTGATCTAAGTACACAGAAATATCTGTGAATGTGCAAAGTGTAAAGTGAGCACAGGGTCACCTAGTATCAAGCAAGATTTCAGAAATACTCCAACGTAAACAGTTAATACATTGTTAATTAACTTCTGAATAACAAAATACCGGGTGAATATTTGGTTTGGAACAAGGCTAGGTATCACTGTTATTAAATAGTTGTTCATTGCTGTCCTACAACACTGGAAGTTAGTTCAAGGCGAGATAAAGCTAGGCTGAGAGTAAATAGCAGTTTAAGGGGAGATAATTGTGAAGAGTATGATTCGGTGCAGCAGATAAGGCCTACACCTTCTTTGTGGAACCAGGGAATCCTTTTCACTTGTCACACTAGTTATTAGTTCTTGGGTCAGGTCCTGTGTGTCCCTCTGACCACTGCCACGAGGCACTACTGCCCACTCCAACTCCCCACAACCACAGAATACCTCACCCCTGCTCACTGCAGCCTCAGATCCCCGCCACTCCCTGCACTGACTTCCATTTTAACATTGACATTAGGTGCTGTTAACTAATGCAACTGAACCTTAACTACCTTTGAGGTGTTAACTTATGCTATGGAATAAGAAATTATTCATCTCCATTTTAACTAGAGTTAGTTACGATTCCCAATTGGTTTCTTAATACTTTCTTTGATTGTAATTCCTGCAAATAAACCAGTTGGTAGGTTTAGCCAGAGCAATCAGACAGTATGAAGCGGTTTCATTTCAGTAAATTACTATTTCTGTGCTTTTCATTTTCAAAGTCACTAAATCAATAAGAGTTCAGAGAAATCAGGTCTACTTATCGAATCTGCAATTTTCTTTCAATTCAAATAAGATTGGAAATAGAATGAATCCTAAAACTCCTGGACTATGTCATTTTCTCATTACAAGAAAGGACAGAAAGATTTTAAAGTGAAGACGGTAAGAGAACTTTAAAATTGAAATACCTTCCTGTTGTTCGTCAAACGGTATGGTGAGTTTCCTAATGAGAGGGATTTGCAACATCGACTGATTCACATGACATGAATATACATCCCCTGCCATCCAATGGGAGAGGTTGACATAACTTGTTGCAGAATTGCTATTGTTTGAGGTAATAATAGGTCCAGAGTCAATCCATACTGAGCCTTCTTTTCGTTGTCTTCTCCACCTCAATTGTACATCACCAGGATAGAGGTTCTCTGCTTTACAAACCAGTTGTACACAACAGCAATTTTCAGGCTGAGGAAGAAATGTAACTTCAACCACTGGAGGAACTTGAGAAAAAAGATAAAATAGAGAGTTGTGAATCGTGGACTCATAGAAGCCCTACCATGTGGAAGCAGGCCATTTGGTCCATCAAGCCCATACTGACCCCGCTGAAGAGCATCCCAACCAAACCCATTCCCCTACCCTATCCCTGTAACCCTACATTTCATTTCCCACGGCTAATCCATCTATCTGACACATTCCTGGACATTATGGGCAACTTAGCATGTCCAATCCAACTAACCTGCAGATTTTTACATAATTTTGGAAAATAAACTACTTCATTTTCAATTAATTTATAAAAAAAGCCATTGTGAATGGCTATGATGGCTGTGATGTTGTTCCCACAACTTAATACTGTACATTAATCCTATTAAACAGGCAAATATTTAGGTTATTATGTTGTTAATAACATTTAGAATTTTTTTTTTACAAATACATTTACAATTTATTCCAACTTATGACCAGCAGAAGTAATTAGATGAAAATACAACATATATATGTGATTAATGCAATAACAATTATACCCATACATTTTTATATAATACACACATACGTAACAAAAATAACTCATACCTGCTACTATGAGGCTTGTTTTGTTTCCTTCTATTTCTATAGTAGGCGGTGGTATATGAAATGCAATCTTACAATAATATAGATCTGAATCATCCACTTGGAGATCTTGGATGATAAAGTGAGTAACACTAGCATTGAGCTTCAAAATGATGCTCATTCGATTATCACAGAGAGGATTCTGTATCAGCATCTTATTTATATAAGTTATACTACATATTGGATTTTCGACTTGTTTACTCCTCCACCAGGAAACATGCATCCTTTCAGCCTTCTTATGAATGTACCAGTTGGAAAAAGTGATGTTAACACTTTCTCCCTTGAATGCTCGGAGAACAGCTGGAGTTTGGAAAACTTGGTCTTCACAATATATTACAACTGTTCCAAAGAAAAATCAAACTGAATTAGCATCATTAATTAAAAACAAATCAAAATTATCTCTGGGAATTTGCATACCTATTTGAAGACATAGGACTTTAATAGATTGAAATAAGATCCTTTACTGAGGAAAACATTACATGAATTCAGCAGATCAACATTTGCAGGGTGCATTATTTTTCTTTTGAATCAAAATTTGTTTGTAGGCAAGAATGCAGTTAAGGTATGAAACCCCAATAAATAGCACAACCAATCAATAATCTCTTATGCAAAGGCATGTCACTGTTTGATTTTGTAATACACATTTATGATAGGGAGATGTTTATATATTCATTTCAAAGAGCAAGATGTTTGTAATGTCAATGATCTTTGTCGCAAGAGTTTATAATGTCATTGTTTGGTTCAACAAGAATTTGGCCTTGTCTCTTCTCAATTTAAATTAGGAAGCTTGAGAATGGTAGAATTGAGATTGCTGCCCCTAACTGACCGAATAGGGTGTTTCTCATATTCCAACAATGACCATTGTAAAGAACCTGCACAGTACTGTTCAAATGCCAACATCAGATCAGTTGATCAGTGCTCTTACTGTCTTGGATAGTTTACTCAAAGGTAAAACAAAATCGTAATGACATATTGCCTACACAGAAGAGTTTTAAACAAGTTTAATGTCTGCATAAGGATAAAAGTGTCTGCTTAAAAAACACTGCTCACTTACTACCATGCTCACCATGGAGATATATTCACAATACCGCTAATGCAGTGAGGTTTAGGATGAAAGTTTTGATTTTGATTACATTTGGTTACATTTGTATGAAAATGTCATAGGTAGTGGGAAAGTGGAATTCTAAAATTAATACCATTGCACACACCTCAACAAATTTTTTCTGACATTTCAAACACTTCTTTTTTCAAAGTCAATACAGATTCCCATCTAAATAATCTAGTTTCCTGTGAATGAAGACAGGTCAACATTTGGTGCTGTCCTGTACAATATTTAGGCCAGCTGAATGTTTGACAAAAGAACTCCTGCAAGGCCTTAATACAAGAAATTCAAAGATCAAAAAGTGACAATCAATATCAGCAGATACATTAAAATGTTAGGTAAACTGTTCTTTCAGATTTGCTAGCTTTATCAGCACAAAGAAGCATCCTTACCCAAATGAATCATGAGGAGAATCCACTTAGTGAAACAGTTATCAGCTGAAGACATTTTGCTCAGCACATGTAGAATCGAAAAGTTGAGAACTAGTTCTGGTATGATAGGTGGGTGTGTGCAACCAAACTTCTGCTAAAAAAGTAAAGTGTGGGTTTGTACGTCAGCCTTCCTGTTTGGATTGACCTTGTGATGTTTATCTTTAAATGCACCTCAACAACGAAATAACTTCTTAAAAAGAATCAGTGAAAAGCATGTCTAAGTGCGACAATTTATTATTTGTTTCTGCTATAGCCAGCAGATCTTGTGTACTTTGCATTAGTTTTCCTGGCATCTCACGTATACAACCAAACCTATTTCATTTCAGTATTTCAGAATAACTGGGTATGTTGATACGAATTCTTTCCTTTTATTCCCTTCTCAATAAAGGAACACCTCTTCTGGCAGTGCGTTCCAGGCTCATACCACTCTCTGCCTGAAAAACTTCCCTCGCACATCTCCCTTAAACTTGCTCCCTCTCACCTTGAACCTGTGCTCCCTTGTAATTGAAAATTCAACCCTGGGGAAGAAAAAATAACTAAATGATTAGAGGAATCTTCTTTGATAAAATTTATCATTCCAATAAATGAATGAGGAAGGGGGCTAAATTAAATATTTGCCCAAATAAAAGCATCAGACTGCAGTGAGCAATTACCCTGCCCTTTTCAAACGTAGTCGGTACACAAATTAATCACTCTCTGATTCTGGTATACTGCCCAGCATGAGGTGTGTGGTTGAATGGCTGCAAACCTCAGCTGGAGCCGAGTTTCATCCAGGATGGAATGAATTTAGATCTAAGCTGTATGACTCAAAGTCAACCTGCTTTTCTTCTGCTAAAGAGCGTGGGGGAGGAATTAAATACCATCAGTATCACTAAAGAAGTAGCATTAGGCAAACTAGTGGGGCTAAAGGTAATTAAGCCCCCTGGCCCTGATGGCTTGCATCCTAGGATCCTAAAAGAAGTAACTACAGAGATGGTGGGTGCATTGATTGTACTTTTCCAAAAAGGTTTGGATTCTGGAGAAGTACCGGAGAATTGACCAACTGTCAATGTGACATTCCTTTCTAAAAGGGACGGAGTGGGAAAGCAGGTAGCTGTAGGCTGATTAAGCTAATATCTATTGTTGGAATTAATTATTAGGCAAGTAATAGCAGCACATCTGGAAAATTATAATCCACTCAAGCAAAGTCAGCATGGCTTCAAGAAAGTGTAATTGTGACTGACTAATGTATTAGTGTTTTTCAAGGAAGTCTCAACCAGAGTGGATAGAGAGGAACCAGTAAATGTGCTGTATTTTGACTTGCAGAAGGCATTTGACAAAGCACCTCACAAAAAACTAAATCGTAAGGTAAGAGCTCACAGTGTTGGAAATATCATTGATAGAGTATTGGCTAATGGGCAGGGAACACTGAGTGGGGATAAAGGGTTCTTCTTCAGGTTGTCGACTCATGACCAATGGGTCCACAGGGATCAATGCTGGGACCATAATTGCTTACAACATATGTTAATTACTTGGAGGAAGGAAGTGAATGTACTGTAACCAAATTTGCAGACGACACAAAACTAGGTGGAAATGTAAATTGTAAGAGTGCTGGGTAAGCGAGCATGATGTTGGTAAATGGAGTATAATGTGGGAAAATGTGAAGTTGTTCGTTTTGGAAGAGAGAACAAAAGAACAGAGTATTATACAGGCAGCACGGTGGCTCAGTGGTTAGCACTGCTGCCTCACAGTGCCAGTAACCCCGGTTCAATTCCAGGCTCAGGCAACTGTCTGTGTGGAGTTTGCACAGTCGCCCCGTGTCTGTGTGAGTTTTCTCTCACAGTCCAATGATGTGCAGGCTAGGTGGATTAGCTATGCTACAGTGCCCAGGGATGGTTAGGTGGGTTATACAGGGGTAGGGGAATGAGTCTGGGTGGGGTGCTCTTCAAAGGGGCAGTGTGGACTTGTTGGGCTGAATGGCCTGTTTCCACACTGTAGGGGTTCTATGATGATGCCCCAAAATAATTTTAAAATTTAACAGTGTATTATTTAAATAGATAAAAACAGCAGAAAAATGCATCACAAAAGGGACTCGGGGATACTGTGCATGAAACACAGAAAGCTAGCACACAGGTGAGGCAGGTAATCAGGAAGGCAAATAGAATGTTGGCCCTTATTTCAAGGTGGTTAGAATATTAAACTAGGGAGGTCTTACTGCAACTGCACAAGGTGTTGGTGAGACCACATCAGGAGGACTGTGAGCACTTTTGGTCTCCTTATCAAAGGAAAGATATTTCACTGGAAGCAGTTCAGAGAGAGTTCACTAAGATGATGCCCAGTGTGGAGGGATTGTCTTATGTGCAAAGGCTAAACAGGCTGGGACTCTACTCCCTGTAGTTTAGAAGAATTAGAGGTGATCTCATTGAAACATATAGGATCCTTAAGGAGCTTGAGAGGGTAAATGCTGAGAGAATGTTTCCCCTCATGGGAGAGTCTAGGGCCAGAGGACATAGTCTCAAAATAAAGGCGCACCAATTTAAGGCTGAGTTGAGGAGGAATTTCTTCTCTCGGAGTGTTGTGAATCTTCAGAACTCCTTTTCACAGAGATCTGTCAGAGTAGAGACCTTGTGTATTTTAAGGCTGAGATAGATAGATCCTTGATCAGTAGGAGTCGCAAGGGTTACAGGGGAAGGGCAGGAATGTCAGCCATGATCCTATTGGATAGGGGAGCAGGCTTGAGGGACTGAATGGCCTACTTCCATTTCTATTTCTAATGGTTATTAATTAGTACATCTCGCTTAATTAATATTCAGCTTCCTGTCTTACCAAACATGTCAAACAAAGTAGACATTGAGAATTCTCAACATAACATTTAGAGTGGGCACATGGTGACTTCAGCTTGGCACATGCTCTAAAGGACCACGGTGCTGGTTACTGGGCACCAATACTTTAGGGCACTCTCAATGGGCACTGGCCAATGCATCCCAAATTCACACACATTGGCATATGACATGTGCCAGAACTAAGAACCTTTATGGTACACCTCTAATCCACTTACAGGATGGTTCTGCACTTTAATGATCTACCTTAGCCTGGACTGGCAGCAAGACCAGCTCCATATTAGCACTATGTACTATCTACAAGATGCAGTGCAGAAATTCATCACCCTTCGACAGCACCTTCCAAAATGACAACAACTAACATCTAGAATGAAAAGGACACAGATACAATGAATTGCCACTACCTGCACGTTCCCCTCCAGGCCATCCACCATTCTGACTTGGAAATATATCACCATTTCTTCAGTGTCACTGCATCAAAAACCTGGAACTCACTCCCTACAACTTATAGCTATTGAAAATCAATGAGAACCGTATGTCACGTGTCTTCAGGCAGGCCCATTGCTAATCAGCAAGTAACTGGGCAGCAGTGGGCCTTGCATGCAATCAGACTCTCGACGGGGTGGATGTCCCTCCGTCAAAAACTGCCAGCCAATCAGAGGCCAGCAAATCTTTCTTGCTCAGCAAACCCACCAGGGAAACTGTGGCTACTATTAGTAATTCATCTACGCACCCAAGGCACAAGGTCACTGAACGACTGGGGGAAAACAGATGGGTGCTGTGGGAGAACAGGTCTCAGAAGGGGGGATTTCCAGCAACATGGGCAGGGGTTGGTACTCAGGGGACTTTACCCCTGTCCCCACCCCTGTAACTGAAGTTGGGTCTCTTAAATAAGCACTGTGTGCCTATGAAGCCCATAAGCAACTCTGATAGAGTTTTATTTTTGGACTTCTCACATGGCAACCCTTGCCCACTGATGCCTGAATGAAAACTAGCAGTTGCGGGATGCAGCCCTTGAGGGCACTAATTTCCCACTTATAGTCTTCAATTGGCAGGAAGGTCACCCACAAGCCATCTTGTTGTGGATTTGATCGGGGTCAGAAGTGGGACATTGACCACGTACCACCCTCCAACTTGATACTGAATGAAATGCCTTCTCACCACCAAATTTGCTACAGTAAGTGAAATACATAGGTGAGTTATTAGAGTTGGAGGGCACATGGCAATAAAGTTCAATTCAGAAAGTGGAAAATTCTATATTTGTATAGGAAAAATATGAAGTAGTAAGTCCTCATTTATAGTTAGCCATTAAACAATATTTTGTTCGAATGTCAATAAGTTAACAGGGCCTGTAATCTTGTTGTGCATCACAAGATTTGTTTTAACATTGTGTCCCATGTGGTTTGTGTTACTTTGGAGATGCCTGCCCCATCCTCTAACTCTCCAACTTGATACTGTCACATCGTGCCTATAACTTTCTGATGTATGGCTTCAGCCTCAAAAAGCCTAGTTGCCAAGGTCTGCTCAGGGAGATAGTTCCCCTTAACTTTTCTTGCTGCTGTGCAGACCCTCTGAGCTGCACAACTTAGAGGGAACGTTTTCAGGCAACGTTTACCCATGAGGCTCCACCCTGCCTGCTTCAACCACCACTTGTTCTGGGCCACATCATAGATGCTTGCTGATAGATTGTTATGGATCTGCTGTTTGCAGCAATGCTCCTCCTTGTTGACCTCTCAAACAGGCAGAGATGCCCTTCTTGATCAGTTGCAGGGCTTTGAACTTCCTCCCACTTCTCATGCACCACAGGTTTTTTCTTGTCGAAATTCTCCCCCTCCCCCCAATTCTGTGAAGGTCACAAGCAGAAGATCAGAAAGGAGGATGATCTGCAGTGGGAGGTTCCTGAGGCAAGGTCAGTGACGAGCACGAGGTGCAGTACTATTAGTAGAAAAGTCAAATTTTCTTTCATAGTTTTTAATTTATTTTTTATTCTGGAAGTTATTTATTTCACCAATATAAGAATTTAATTATGCAAAATATCTCAATGGTGTAATGTTTCTCAGCTCTTCTTTTGCTAAACAAGTCCTGCAGAACTTCATTCTGAATTTGATATTGGCTTCTGTGGGAGTTAATGTTTCACTTATTTTCATATAAAGTTGCAATTTTCAGGGACACAATCACAACTTTAAGTGAAAACCTGCCGTACATCACAAATTAAATCACTGAATTTTAAAAGGGATGCAAA